TACTTTTTAAAATATCGTTCTTTAGATTTGGCTGTTTGGTATTTATAGATAAATTCTGCAAATTCCACCTCTAAGCGGGTAAAGTGGGAGTTAACAACTTTCAAGGTTTTGTTGAAAACCTAGAATATTTCAAACTAAGCCAGCCTAAAAAGTCTATAATTTTGTCTTTAAAAGAATGAACATTATCTAATAGATTATTTATATCCTTAAGATGAGAGTGTGAGGGTTGAATATTTCTATACAGAATCTTACAACTTTTCAAGTTATGTTTATAGAAATTTAGTTCGAAAACTATTTGAGCCATGAACAAGAAATTTGGCAGTTTATGATCACGTCACCCTAGAATGGATTTTGAGGGAGAGCTGGATTAAGGGGAGATATGGGCAGATAAATGTATGTATAAAAGCGAAAAGATACTCGCTCAATAATCTCGAAATCTCCAAAATTAATTGACCTATAATCACGAAATTTTATAGGAAGGTTGTTTATATACAGGGAATACCAGTTAAGAACGAATTTTGTGACAGGGCAGGACTAAGGGTATCCAAGCGTAGTTATACATCGAAGCCAAATATTTCTCATACAATGATTACAAACTCTCAGAGACTGTTCGATCTATGAACATAAAATTTGGCAAGGAGGTACTTTATGGACAGGACATGTCGGATTTATCGAAAGAAGGTGATTAATGGAGTTAAGCTGCTCTTACAAGTTTGTCTGAAATTCATCGCAGTTTGCTGCTAGTTAACTAAAAATTAGTATTAATAAAGTTCTGTTTAGAGTAGACTTAATGGGGCTCCTACAATCACCGAGTACCATCTGCTGAGGTAACGGGGGGGTGAAAAGGAAACGAGGGTGGGCAGGTCTTAGACGGTTGTCGGCGCTACTTTAAAAGAGGAAAGGATGACTGCGGGTGCGTACCGAGGTAAATTTTTATAATAACACAGTCTGATTTCGATTAGCGATCTAGCCTGTAAATCGTTTCCTATTTTGGTACTAAGCAAGTGATCATTTAGTATTGTTCTACCCTGGTTACTGTTCGTCGATATTGTGTTGTTGAATTGTTGTGCCGTACTCTTGTTGGTGTGATTGTTCTTGAGTGCCTTTTTTATTAAGGTTGATAATGGACAATAAAAGGTCATATGCGACAATTTTAATTACGAATGCAGTGAGTTTAATTCATGATGAGGACAACAATAATGTGGAACACTTCAACTCTATAATCGCAAAATACATTGGGGTAAGCGAATAAATTATTGCAAGAAGAGGTCATACCATGGAAAATGTGCTGCAGCTGTAGTGAGCCACAATACCGAGCGGCCTGTCTATGTGGTCCAAATACATTTGCGTGCTAAGCTTAGTCCAACCTCGCTTATCACTAAGATGGAACAAAGACGCAAGAATCTTGAAAAGAAACTCAGACCAAAAAAAGCTGATATAAAAATAACTAACAATTCGGATAGCAATTCCAAAGAAAATGAATAGTTTTATGGCGAATTCGGCCAAAAACTTGACATTAACTACATTTATTTGGAGGTTGCTAAGCGAAAATTTTTAGGGAAACTTAAAAAAAGTGACGACGAGATTTTTCAGATCGAACAAGTCACCAAATCACAGGACTGTACTTTGTGGCATCTTCAACGGAGGATAAGGTTGACAGCGTCTCGATGTGGTGAAGTTTGTATAAGAAGGCAGACAACAAGCTGTAAAGTTCTAGTAAACTCCATCATATACCCAACAGTGTTTTCTAGTAAGGCAATAAAAAAAGGCAATACAAAAATCACTCGACACGCCAGTTCAATCTTGTGGTTTGATTATTGATCGCACACATCCATTTCTGGCAGCATCACCTCCATCTACCTATTACAGTAGACAAGACATGTACTTAATCCAGGTATAAGCCTACCTATTTATTGCTTTGCAAAAACTACCTAACTGTTTCCTCTTGTTTATTGACATGAATAAACGAATTTGCATTTGAGTTCTTGAATTTATTTTAGGAAAGATATAAAATTATTTGAATACATTTTTTCTTAGTCGGAACGCACCGTCACGACGCTTGGACTGGCAGGTTGAAACAGTAGATGAATTTCGCCCAAAAACCGATTTGCACTTCACAGCTTACGTTTAATTCTTATTATTTCCAAATGAAACTGTTGCAGCGTGCTAAAGACAAAGTCCACAGGGTGCCAGCGATCAACTTTTTCGATTTTATCCACTAGGATATCTTTTTAAAATATCAAGAAGTTGAGCACAAATAGTAAGCTTTTCAACCCACCATAATTCTTGCGCAAATACAAAATTCTGTAAAAAGCTCTGATAGCACCCTAGGCAATTATGTCCTGCTTATATCCAGAAAAACATCACAAACTGCAGAACACAAATTGAAGGTAACGGCGAAATGGGTACATTTCACGGGTCATGAAATTCAAATGAAAATGCAGGTATAAAATCTACCAAATTATCATTCTCAAGAACATGTTTCCTTGACATATAAGTTCCACGCTAAATTCCCCTATACTTGACTGGAGTGATATCCGAATTTATTCTTCCCTACTGTCGGTAGTTGCAGATCTGTTGACTCTTGGTGTCAAATCTATAGAGCAGATACCGATTTTTTTCAAATCGTGAGCACATTATTCGTCGGATTTACGTTACTTAAATGTCCTGTAATCACTGGGATCAAAAGCTTCTTAGTAATAGAACGTGTTTCACTGATTTCAACCCCCCCTTTTTAAGCAGAACAATTTTTTTATGTCAATGATTAGGAACCCCTGAAACGTCAAAAACGGAGTTTCAGCAATTGTTACTTTTTCTTTTTTGCCTATAGCACCGTTGCCAGTGGAGTAGAACTACAAAGCTTTGGCAGTGTGGAAATTTCATAAAAATCCGAGCGGTAATTTCCAAGTTGATGATGAGTGATACAGTTTTTCGTGATGTAGATGCCGTATGACTTAAAAAAACATAACATTTCATTTTAGAAATTTTTCGCGATTACAATACTTCCTCGCCAATGGCGTGGGAAGTAAAACGGCTTTAAAATCGAGGAGTATCAGCGATCGCGATTATGAGTACCTATTTGCAGAACGAGTTATCTACGAGATATTATATGAAATCGGGCCACCAAATTATCTTAGTCCGTACATTTCGCTGCAACGCTTGTGTTGGCAGCACGAAACAGTAGACAAAATTCGTCCAAAATACGATTTGTAGAGGTTTGCGCGCTTCGGAATTGACGCTTTATTTTTTGATATTTTTGGATGAAATTTTCACAGTGTACTTAAAACAAAACCCCACAGGGTGTTATAGAGCCACTTTTTCCTTTTTTTCACTTGGGTCGTTTTAAAAAAATCGCAAAGTTGAACAGTAAAAGTGCGCACTTCAATCCCTCATAAAACTTGTGCAAAAACAAAATTTCAAAAAGTGCTCCTATAGCACCCTGGGCAATTATCTTCTCAACATACTGCATGAATTTCATTGAAAAATATTGAAAAATGGAGTATCAGTTAGTGAAGCAGCTGAACCCTTGTAAATGGCTTGAAACTCACTGCGTCGGAGCCGCCTTAAGCTAGGAATGGATTTTGCGATCAGGAATATGGTGAAGAGGTAGCTTTTACAATGGAAAATCTCCTTTAATTTGAAAAAGTAATTTTAATATTTCGGTAATTCTATTAACTAACTAGTTTTTGCTCGATGGTTTTACCCGCGAAGCGTATAGGTGGCGACATTAAGAAAATAATCAGAATTCCCAAGCAGGCATGCATAAAAGTTACAAGATCTTATTGTCGGAAGTTATAGCACTACTTAAAAACAATGTTTCATGTTAGTAGCTATTTCAAACGTACGAGCTCGTGAGTAGCACTAGTAATAGTATATAATATTTATTTTTCCCATTGGACGCATAAAAGATATATAAAAACAAAACATGTAATGGGAAGCTTAATTGTGGCTAAGTAAGAGTTTTTGACCAACAAGACCTAGCAGATGCTTCACCATTCTGAATTGAGTTTGAAACATAGTAATATCATTGCTTTGCATCTACACACGGTTTGACAATATCCTTTTTGACCGTAAAGATTAGCATGTAAGAGCAAACAGTTTAGCGCTACAGCAAAAACTTTTGTACAGCACTATACTAGTTGTTTTGGTATGATAATATATTGTATTGCGAATTTTTGTATTTGCAAAGATTCTCTCGTTGACTTCAAAGCCTTGCTTATCTTCAAGCAAAACTTTTTTTTTTAGAGGTTAGAACGACGAACTTTGCTTTATTGTTTCTTTTGTTACGGAGAATATGTCAAGATACGTATGTTTTTCCTACTTATCAGAAGCATTTACATTTATTATCATAATCTTTAGACATTTGTAAAGTAGAAAATAATTTTGATAAGAGTGTTAAAAAACACTTTGTCAACACCACGGATGCCCATCTCGATAGCTGAATTTGAATCTGTTAATTTCTTTGCTTTGATGGAGGTTTTTCTTATACAAGTTAAATGTTTAACGTTACACTTGTCTGCGCGAAGATTCAGCAGTCTTCAACAAAACCGGCTAAAAATATTTGGACATGTTCATGGAAAAGTGATATCCAAAAAAGTTAAACACCATCTATCTTGGCAACGATGGATTATCTGGCCTATATTTATATGTACATTCCTTCTTAGGATGACCCAATGAATCACCCTCTTGAAGTTTGACCTGGCGCTTTATTAATATCTTATTATCTAGTACCGAACAGATTTGAGCCTGCACCAAACTTTACACATCGTCGATACCGTTGCAAATACTATGATGAAAATATGAGTATCATGAAAAAAATCAGATAAGAACTTACTCTTGCGTACAAGTCCTTCCTGTGGCAAATCACAATAACAACTAAGAAAGCCCAAGAACCACTAACGATTGAAAAATAGAATGATAACATAATCTCTGTCAATACTTCATGGACTTCTATTTGTTTTGATCTATACACAAAATACAGATAGTAATTTCTTTGGTGTAGAGCTGTGTGCAATACATAAATAGATTAACATTCAATTTTTAAGATAAATATTCGAGCAAAAGATGTTATTATTTTGCCAGTATGGAATTCTTGACAACACTACCTACTTTAAGATAAGCAATATTATCTGTGGCTTTAAATACGATTTGCAAGTTTTATCTCTCCTAATGGAACCAGGAAATTGGGACACGAAAATATTTTTTATAAACAACGCCAAGGTATGACACTGATATTTACGACTGCACACTCACATATTTTCATGTAGTTCAATAGTTTAATTCCAGTCTTGCTTCTGTCATTCACAATGTTATATTTTTTTCAGAAAAGACTGTGAAATGTGGTCGACCCTGTGGCACGACTGAAGAAACTGATGCTCCATTTTCACATCTATTTTTCTAACAGAACTAGAAACATGAAACTTGAATTCTACATTTTCTAAACTTACTAAATCACTGATAATTTTAGGATCCACTCTGCTGATAAGTAAACATTGCAATTTAGTAAGTACTTAATATTTCTTCATAACGATTGGACAAATGAGGTAGCTATGAGGCTGTTATATCATATTGCGGAAATACATCGTTGAAGGATAATGAAGAGAAACAGATTAATACTTTATAGTTTGTGTATGTACAGGGTGCGGCAGAGAGGACGGTCGTTTTTGGGATGGGTACTACCCTCCGCCACCGTCTACGAGAGAGGTGGGGAGGGTGCCGTTTGACTCGTGAGATCCTAGCATTATTTTACCAGTTGTCGTTATGGAGCCTTGGACGGTGGAGCACCGCGTTTTCGCCTATGATTGTTTCTTCCGACATAATGAGTCAGTCATCGTCGTACAGCGTGTGTTTCGTCGCCACTTCAACATTCATTGGAATAGAGCTGTTCCCTCTCGACACACCATCCTTCGTTGAGTTGAATCACTTCGCAGGCGTGGTGAACTGATCAACAGAAGACCAAGAGGAGCGCCGCGAACAGTTCGAACTCCTAGAAATGTTGAACGCGTTCGACAGGTCTGTCTTCGCAGTCCGACTCGATCTGCCCGCAAACATGCTGCTGCACTTCGCCTTAGTGATCGTTCGGTAAGGCGAATTTTGCATATGGATCTCCGCTTTCACCCCGACAAATTGGCCATTGTGCAACAGTTACAGCCCGGAGATTATGCACAACGAATGAACTTCGCACGTGAGATGGAAGCACTGATCGATCAAAATGAGAACCTCATTTTGTTTATGAGTGACGAAGCCCACTTTCACCTAAACAGCATGGTTAACCAGCAGAATTGTCGTTATTGGGCTAATGAAAATCCGCAACAGTTACACGAAAGACCGCTGCACAGCCCAAAAGTAACGGTTTGGTGTGCTGTATCGCAAAATTGCATCATTGGCCCTTACTTCTTCGAAGACGGTAATCGTCGTGATGTTACCGTGAACTCAGGGCGCTACGTCGCCATGATCACCAACTTCTTTCTCCATGAATTGCGACGGCGACGTGTTCCAATCCGACGTGTGTGGTTCCAGCAGGATGGGGCGACGGCCCACACAGCCCGAGCATGCATGGACGTTATTCGCCCTCTCTTCAATGGTCGCCTTATTTTCCAGGTTTGGCGATGTTCATTGGCCTCCTCGGTCCCCAGATTTATCCATATGCGATTTTTTCTTATGGGGACACCTCAAAGCTAGAGTATACGCGAACAAGCCCCGAACTCTGGACGAATTGAAGGGCGAAATTCGCGTCGAAGTCGCCCAAGTTGAGAGAGCGATGTTGGAGAGAGTCTACGCGAACTTCCAAGAACGCCTCCAGCACTGCATCAACGATTTCGGCCACCACATGCCTGATGTGATTTTCCACACTTGACTGTCTCAAATGCTATTTCCTTGTGAACCTGATTCCATCAATAAATTTGTTTTCGAGTAAAAATTAAGTATTTTATGATTTTTTTAAAACCGTCCATCCTCTCTGCCGCACCCTGTATATGAATGAGTTATATCTCGGTTGTAGTTCAGATCATATTCAAATAATACATAGACCAAGTGGACTAATATAAATTGGTTTTACTTGTATCATAGCTAAGGACACTCACGATCAAGTTACACAGCCCAGTACTACACCGAATACGAGGTACGTGGTATTCAAATCTGTCCGATTACCCGTTTTAAAGGAAGCAGTACTGATCGGGGCCCTAGTAAATGTTTGTTCCGATAGTTCTCTTGCATGTACACAAAACTTCTTCCCATTCAAGTGATTGCACGTGTGTGCAATCACTGTGTGCGAACTTGCTCTATCGTGTAGTGACCTCACTCACGCAACAACTGTGCGATTCTGCGTGCTTTTGATTGACTCACAAAGTGGGAAGACCTAATTTGAATTTTTTGACACCCTGGCCACGATATACACCTAAAGGGCTAATTTAAAAATTGAGGCCAAATTATGCAACGTGGAACAAAAATCTCAGAATATGTTTTATTTCATATTGCCGCGGAGTGGTGAGAGTTCAATGAGAGAAGGAAAAAATGAAAAATAATATTTCTAAGTCGTATCCCTGCTAATAGCTACGATATAGTCATCTCACGTGAAAAAAATTTGCAGCAGTCTCACATAAACTTTGAAACTTTGAAAAAAATGGCATCAGGTAAGTTGACTCTGCACGTCCTACGCATCGCCGTTATCAGTTCAGCACAAGTTAAACCCTCTGAGAAAAAATAGCTACCAACGTGTAGAATAGAGAAATTAAAACGATCAAATCAGTCAAACATGCCCATACAGTTAGTCCATAGATATTCCTTCCCTGCCCTACCGGTAGTTACCGTCCATCTGGCAACGTTGCTCGTTCCTAGCGTCAGAAGTAGCGTCAGAAGCGGCAACGACAACCGAAGCACCGCCGCGGTACAAGCAAAACAATCAAGCAAGCCTTTGGGCCAGTTGCTGAGCCCAGATAGCAGAAGTAGACGCGTATAGAAAACATTCCCTTATCGTTAGTTTTAAAGGTAAATATACGGGGAAACCCATGAGGTGTGAAATATGGTAAATAGATGAGTAGAGGTTAGAAGCATATAAATATAATTTTTCACACCCCATTTTTTTTTCAAAAATGCTCAGTATCTTTTGGGACGTCAAAAAATGACGTTTTAGCAATTTTTATTTTTTTCGTATTTGGCATTTTTTCTCCATCGCCGATTCTAAAAAACTGTAAAGATTTCTTGTCCATTTCGATTCCATTCAAATCCGAGCAGTACTTTTCCAAGTTATAGAGAGGCCCAGGATTACCGGATAGAACAACAGACTGTCAGACATACCGACGGTAAAAAACATAATATCTCATTTTCGCGATTACAATACATCTTCGCGCAGTGATGTAGGGAATGGTTAATAAAATATCCTGTTTTGTTTTTAAATACATTTCAACTGAAAACTGGCTTGCAACATCAACTACCCAAAAGCTTAAAAATGTTTGGTAATAATAAAATCTATTCGTCGCAAATCAGATATAATCAAGAAATAATTTAAATAATGAACTTGATAATGGACACGTTGTTCACGTCACATTACGTGGATACGTAGGTATCTATGTATGTACGTAACCGAAAGATTCTGGATATCCAATATATAATAAAACAAATTACTATTTTGCGTGTTTTATAAAAATACATATGATAATGAATCTTTAGTAGCCCGTAAAAAATGTTCCGAAACGACAATAAGTGAATTGATTGTGCAATAGTTGTTATCCTTGTACTAATATGAAGTCATTCTGTTTTATAAAAATGTACTTTTTTCAAGATTTGTGTGTTAGCAGTGAGCAAATAAGATCAAAGAACACTCCCACACCTGCAGTAATATGTATCAGACTACTAATCGTTTATAAATTAATGTTTCCGTAAAGTTGATTGTACTTAAGCAACCGCAAAATAGAGCCTAAGGTCCGATTCCACCCAAATCATATAATATAAAACTTTAACAGACTCGTTGAGATCAAAAACATCAACCGTAAATGGTAGAGATGGCCAATATCATTATTTTTGAATATCTGAGATATCTGATATAGTTACTTTTTGGTGTAAGTGATTTAAAACCGTAACGTGAACACGACTTTCAAACAACAATGGGTATAATACAAAAGCCCATAAGGCGCGATAACGCTTGTAGGTTATAGTAGTATTACGGTGGTATAGTTAGTTCTTTTCACGGTTTTTGGCGGTTCAAAGTAAAACTACAGGAATTGTTTTCATGCATCCATCGCTCTCATACATACACACGCAACCTACTCTTGTGTGCGATAAGCTCAAAGACATACGTTTTTGTAGTTGTTTGTCTCCGTCTCGAAAACTTAGTCGTTACGTATGAGTGCCCTTGAATCATATTTGTCAGGGTGACAACTTACTTGACATCGGCGTGCAATTCGAGTTGTCCTGATATCAATCTTCAATATAACGGAAATACGATCGATGGAGAAGGCCGACAGCTCGTGCTAAATTTATTAGAGTATTTCCAGGAACAGAATAAAAATAGCGGTCCCCTGTTACCCACTTCATGCGTACTGGAGAGTAGCAGATGCGCTGAAGATTAGTCTGCGCCCATGGTACGGAGACTCGACCTGTTTACTTATTGGATGTCAAATCATGCTTTTTCATGATGTTTTGTAACAATTGTGATTCGTGACTTAGGAATATCAGTTACTAAATATCTGCCACCACTAATACATGGAGATTACACAAACTGAGAGCAAACTACATTTGATGGAAGAATAAAAAGAATATTTAGGAAGCACTGCCATTGGAGACAAATACCTACATGCTGTTATAACTGACCAAGCAGCATAAAGATCGAGGAAAGTGAAGTATTGGAATACGAGGATTCCCTTGGTAAAGTAATTTCGGAGAATGGTTCGGTTGCAGTCTCACTCAACTGTTTCGTTCAGCGGCCTCAACGAACAAGATAGCATGAATGTTAGCCAACCTTCGTAGTGGAGATAACTCGTAAAAGGAACAAGACCCAGACTGCTATGAAGAAATTGAAGACATCTCGTTGATCTGACTTTTGAACTGACTTAGGCCTAATTTCACCCACAATTGTGTAACAGATTGGTTACAAAAATTTGCCCCGGGTATCTCCCCTCAACCTTTCTATTCTTTTTGTTGATTATGATAAGATGATCCACTCAGAATATATACCTCACAAATAAAAGAAGTTTGCCTCGTTTATGAGACCAGTAGCTTCGATTAAGCTTTTTTTGTCCTTATTTTGATTAGACGGAGCTTCACACAAGCCTTCGTCTTTATTCGAGCTACTGAGATTTCAGTATAGATATATCAAATGATTATATATGGATTTAGTACCAGCAGAAACTTATAAGTCCTGAAATACTCATTTATTCACACATAATTTGTAGCTTACTAGAGGATTACATCAAGCCTTCTTGTTGCTGCCGATAGTGAAATTGTCTAAAAAGTGAATCTCGTATTAGAAATTTTGCGCAATTACAATAAGTACTCTGCCTCGTCTTGCGTGAGAACGCTCCCGGACACTCAAATATGGCCTGATTACACCTTCACACATCT